TTGTAATCAATGTGGCCAGTATCAGTACGCTTTAATAAATCTATAGCAATAATAATAAATAACCCACACCTACAGGTACATGTAATACATGCACATGTATCAAGATTATAGACGTACTGTTGCCATTAGTTGGTACTGTAATTGTGGATGGATAAGATTTGGGTGTATTGCTAAATTATTTTTGGTGATTGGCAGGTTTTATTTGGCAAATTTGCAGCTACATATACATTACATGTAAGATTCTGCCATTAAGCATGTGAATGCATAATGGTTCAAAATGATGAGCTTTAAATTGGGAAAAGGCTATCAAAATGAGAGAACTATCTTACCCAACATCAGCTAAATTACAATGTACATGTAAACACTAGTATTTATATAATATACTGTACATGTGAATGCATAATGGTTCAAATCATGGGCTTAAATTTGGGAAAAGGTTACATGTTATAAAAGGTTATAAAAGGTGTATATGTATGCATATGTATGTGTATACGTGTGTATGTATATGTATACATGTACATTGTATATGCGGAAAGATCAGTGTTTATTGTTATCATATTATTGTACCTTGTAGTAATAATATGATCCTTGGTATTCTTTGTACTGGTGTTATCAGTAGTTCTGATAGTGTCTGGCGGCCACACTCTGGTTTGGACTCATTACACTTAAGGAAAGCATGAAACCTTGGGAACTGACGATCACAGGAACTGAGAGCCTCCTTAGTGACTTCAAAATAATTTATATATGGAGGATACACACGTAATAACTCTTCAGACTATAGGGAGGAGAGTCATTGACTTATGAATAAAAATATATATAGTTACTATTTCTAAAAATACCCTGTACTATAGCCCATGGTTTTTTCCAAAAAATGGGTCCAAAATCACCCCCAATTTTAATTACGTTTCTGATACATATTGATGCCCTTATACTGTGTAGAAAGTTTGAGCTGATTCTGACTAAAAATGTTTAAGCTATGGCTATTTTAAAAAAATCAGCAAATTTCTATAAAGTACCCTGTACCAAGGCTATAGCTATAGCCCAAGGCTATAGCCCCCCTCTCTCTCTCCTTCCTCCTCATACAACAGCAATAACAATAACAGATATTGTACTGGTACAAATATTTGTGGTGTTGGGAAAATACAGTATAGCAGGTTATTTTCGAGGATAACAAATTTCGCGGATTTTTCAAGATTCGTGAAATTAAATTCCTTGAAAATCAATTTAATATGGTACACGATGGCAGATTAGTGGAGATTCACGAAAATTAATTCTGTAAACCTCCGGATACAGGTCATTTGTGAAATTTATCATCCTCAAAAAACCGCTATACGGTATTAATTTTCTAGTGTTTTAATTTCATGTTTTCTATTTAAAGCACTATAAGGTGTGGTCATATGAAGAATTTCACTGGATTAAAACTTCACACAACAAAAATAATGAAAATTAATCCCACGTGATATTTTGTAGCCATACAGTAGTATAAATAAATAATAATTATAGACTAACTTCTTAGAGTCAGGGTCCAGTGAGCTGGTAATTCTCATCAGTCATAACTTGTATCAATGATTGTATCACTGATCCATCAGTTACTCCAGTACTACAGCAGTAACAGGCTAACAGCACTAGTCACTGATAACAGGGGCGTCGCTGGGCTTGAAAGATTGGTAGGGCACTAGGTCCATGAAGGAGGTGTAAGTTTTCGCGCGCGAAGCGCGCGAAAAATTTTGCAGTATCTCATTAATTTCATGATGGGTGTGGTCAATTTTGGTCAATTAATTGATTGATTAATTAATTAATAATGATCTTTTGACGCCCAAAAATCATAATGGCGTTCATTTCCAGCAATAAATTGCTTAACTACCGACTGTATTTCTACATTATGAGTCAGTTGTTGGTGTGTGTGAAGAAGTAAGCAGTGATTGAGTCTTTCCTGGATAGTTATTAGATTAATTAACTTGAATTAATAACTAATTTTAATAAAAATGGCTACTGATCTTCAAAATATTGGTGGGGCAACTGCCCTACCTGCCCCTTAGGCAGCGACGCCTCTGGATAATAGTGATAAATATATAGACACTATAGTGACATCTCTGCTGAAACCAGGTTGAAACACGTGGGTAGCTTAGCCCCTCCTTCTTTATGTAGATGATCACGTGATCTAATTATCAACACCCACGCAAAAGGGCGTAGCTCACTAGTGTCTTTGTCTAGCTCTCTACAGCAGCAATGGCTAGTTCTAGGGCAGTGTTTCGTTTAGGTAAAACTATCCCCTGGCCCTCTATTTATGTGGGATACTAGATCTCTCACTATTGTAGTATGTAATACTTATTTTTTAGATATCAGTCATATGAAGCTGGTTTCTAATGCTTTGAAGGAAAGTCACTTCACTGATGCTAACTGGTTTGATCTTGGAGTGGAATTAGACCTACTTTATCCTGGCCTGGCAAACATCAGAGCTAGATTTACTGATCCTTCTCAGTGTTTACTGGAGTGCTTGAGCTTGTGGTTGACTTCAGCTAATAATCGTACTTGGGAATCATTAGCTAGTGCACTTGAGAGAATGAATCAAAAACCAGCTGCTACACTCATCCGTAATACATGTAAAGTTAACATACATACAGTACATGAACATGAGTACAACAATTTTATTCCTATAGATGATGATCCTGCTAGTCAGATATTCCAGCATTACAGTGATAGAATATCACAAGTATCTCTCACTGATAGTTGTATCCAGTTGTTATATACAGAAGGATTAATCACTGAGGATACACAAAGGAAGATTGAGAGATGTGGTGGCTCATTAAGTGATACATTAAGAGAATTAATGATTGAAGTATCTGATGATCACAGTAAGCTGAGGTCACTAGGAAATATATTAATGGAATTAGAAGAAACTAAACCTTTAGCTCAAGATATTATTAAAGATTGTGGTAAGAGTGACAATATATAATTTAAAATTTAAAAAAGTTATTTATTTTACTCAGATGAATTCCTTCCTAAAATTGACAATGGAGAAATAGATAAATCTTTGCCTAATGCACTATCAGGTATAATAATATATGTAATAAAATAATACTCATATTTATAAATAGTTGAAGAGGTATTTGTTAGTGAAGTGTACAATTGTCGTTTTGATGAAGTTCGTGTTAAGTTTGGTGACCTACGTCATGAGATAATACAATTAGTAGTGGAGAATGTACCATCAGCCGATGATATTAAAGAGTATCTCTCTCGTTGCTTTCCTGAAGTAAAAGAAGATTTATCATCAGTCAATAAAGTGAAAGAAGTCATGAATATTGTTGAGAGTAGATGCAATGTTATCAATATAGTACCAATAAAAGCTATCGTTAATAAGTATCACATTACTGGTGCACTCAAGATGATCACAGAGTTTGAAGAAGCAGTTGATGACTTCTGTTCAAAAATGAAGGTCAAGTTCATGCTAAACAAGAAGCTGTCACTAGCCGTCAGTTCACTCACTTGTGAGAGAGTGGAGTTTGTACTGGAATGGGAACCTGACGAACATACACTTGATGACATTAGACGTCTCTTAAAGAAAGCATTTGAAGACTTAAACAAGAGGATTATTGTACGAAGCATTCATCATGGGAACTCCATCATTATCATCTGTTATGCTCCACATCATTTACTAGCTGCTCTTCTCTTGGAAGCACAAGACAACCTAACTGTCTTGATGAAGGAATTCAGTTTAATTA